ATTGATGAAGCCAAGAAAACAGCCCTCACACTGATGGCTGCGGCAGCCTCCTAACTGCGAGTTCCTCCTTCACTCTTGTTCCTCTTGCAATTCATCTTTTCACATAACAGCCAGAGAGATCTTTTAAACACACAATTCGTGTCTCTCCATTGTTGGAATTCTCCAGTGGCTTCCCACTACTCACTATCCTTAGAGCAAAATGTGGACTTCTCACCAGAGCTGTCGGGGAAGCTCTGGGGCTGGTCCCCTCTGCCTGCAAGCATGGCATCATCACAGGCCTGTCCTCCCCGACCCACTGCAATCCAGCCAGGGGCCTCCCCCCATGTCCCTGACAGCAGGTGCACCCTGCCCGTGGCTCCCCCGCACTTCACGCTGCTGCCACCTCTGCCTGCTCCTCAGCCGTCAGCTTGAGTATCGCCTGCTCAGAAAGACCGTCTCAGCCTTCTGATCTACATGACATCCCTGTTGTACACTCGCGGGCACCGTGTCTCTCTTTGCTATTTCACAATTTATACTTATCTATTTATAACTGCACTTGTTATGAGCCTGCTCACTTGCTCACTGTCTGCCTCACAAAGGTGCAGATCATGTCTGCATACTTCACTGTTGTCTTTATTACTGTGCAGGATGCTTGGCAAGAAACTCTCACTGAATGATTGAGTGCAGGGCCCAGCACAGCATTTTCCAAATGTGGAATATAATTTTGTGGGATGTTCTAGGTCAGGGGTTGGCAAACCACTGACTGTGGGCCAAATCTGGCCCATAGCTTGTTTTTTTGCAGATAAAGTTTTACTGGAACGCAGCCATGCCCGCAACATATACATTGCGGATGGCTGGTTAGCCTGATGGCAGAGCTGAGCAGTTGTGACAGAGACCAACTGACCCGCTGTCTGGCTCTTAACAGGAAAAGTTTGCCAACCCTTGTTATAGATAATTATAGTTAATAAAAAAAAAAAGCTTCTATGGATCTATGTTGGATTAAATGAAGTCACATAGATCTCTTTAACCTAGGACTTCTTGAAGTCTTTAATGTGTTAATGTGCACTGTGATTTCTAAACATGTGATTTAGTGTACAGTTTCCCAAGCTTATCTGAGCAGCAACCTCCTTTCGTTTGTGTTTGCTGGTTCTTTGGAATACACTTTGAAAAATGCCAGCCAAGGCCTAGAAACCACAAAGGTGAGATTCCATTTATCTCTGGAAAGTGGGTGATGGGAACTTCTCAGTAGCTACAGTAAACCGGTTTTCACAGTGTTNCTGTGATGTCGGCCTAGCCCGGTGCAGGTCTCTGGGTCTGTGGAGGTCACTGGGCAGCTGGTGCAGTAACTGTATGCAGATCACAGGGACCCAGAGCCAGACAAAGAGGTTTATCTCATCAGGAAGCAACGCTCACAATTCAGAGCATGAAAGAAACACTTTTAGGCCCATTATTTCCCAAAGCTGACATAAGGACAGAGAAGCTGGGGTTTTCAGGGTTCAGAGTGCATGGGTGCAAGTGCTCAGACCTGCACTTACCAGGGTCTCATTCAGCAGGGTCTGATTATTTTGAATTGTTTTATGCCCACTATTTACTCAATTGTCTTCCTAACACCATGTGGGAAAGGCAGAGAGTGAAAAATCAAGAGGGTGGTGAGAGAAGGGACATCTAGGTCACCGCCAGATGCCAGCTTTGCCTGTGAGGCTGAGATGGACGGCC